CGGGCGGGACCCGCGTGTTTGCCGAGCCGGGAGCAGTCGCTCCTGGCGGGCTGCGGCGGGGTCAGAAGCCCGTTGTTGTTTTGTGCTGGGGAACGGCGATTACAGCTCGGCCGAGGGGACCCACGCAGGTTTCGGCCCCCGCGAGGCGCTGTCCCACGGGCAGAGGAGTTGCTCGAGAAGCGGGCTGGGCTCGTCCCTGTGCGTGTTTTCTCACTCCGTCTCCCTCGGTGCGGGTTCGGGATTTAGTCAGATTTTTACTATTTACTCTTTCTGTTTTGCTAGTCAGAGGAAATAGTATTTAGTCATTAGCCATCTTTCTGTAGCATAACTCAGTTTTGTATTCTAATTTTTTTCTGGGGCTAGCTATTTTAAACATTTTAAAATTTAAAAAACTAGCATTTCTTATAGGTAGGGATTATAAGAAAAAACTGTGCTTTTGCATAGGTACCTGTCAAGTCTTGTCAGGGGAAACATCACGGCAACGCATACCGAAAACTCATTTTATGAACGTGCTTGGTGATGGGTTTTCTGGTAAGCTTGTGGCCGGTAGCAGTTCCACAAGTATAGCGAACCTAATCATAATCAGCCTCCCTTAGATGCTAAATGTGCTGACAATGTTGTCATACAGAGCATAAAAGTAACTTTTTAAGAATTGTCACCAAAGACAGAATAGCATAATTAATTTTTTTTTTTTTCCTGAATGTGGACGATTGCCTTTTGAAATATGTGCGTGTATTCTGGCTCAGTACTGTCATTTGTAGCAATAGGGATCTTTAGGTTACCTACCTAAAGCCCAGAAAATTCAAACCAAACAAATAAAAGCTATTTGGTTTGTAATTTTTTTTAATACTCTGCCAACTTGTAAGTAATGAATTGAGAGGTTTGTCTGGAGCGAAATCACCCTGTATCAAAGGATAATCTTCCCCTACTCATAAAATTACTGACTCCTTGTGAAATCTTATCTTATGCATGTCTGTGTTGGTGGGTGCAGACAAACACAGTCCTTTCCCATGCTCTGAGATGATGGCCAGTTATCGGTCTGCATTGGTCCCTGTATTGGTGATGTATGAAATAGGGCTTGATTTCCCCAAAGGACCTGATATCCCGAGCACGGGGCCACATTAGTATGCATGTATGATGTCTGGACTAGACCTGGCTTGTGTCTGGCCAGTTAAGAACAGGGGCAGAGAATGACCTTGAACCTCTCTTAACTTTTCTCTGTGGGCAGACATTAATGTCATGTCTAACGTTCGCCTGTGTGAACCTCATGAAGTTCAACAAGGGCGAGTGCAAGGTCCTGCACCTGGGTCAGGGCAATCCCCAGTATCAGTACAGGCTGGGGGATGAAGGGATGGAGAACAGCCCTGCCGAGAAGGAATTGAGGGTACTGGTGGGTGAAAAATTGGACGTGAGCCAGCAATGTGCGCTCGCAGCCCAGAAAGCCAACCGTATCCTGGGCTGCATCCAAAGCAGCGTGGCCAGCAGGTCGAGGGAGGGGATTCTGCCCCTCTGCTCCGCTCTGGTGAGACCCCACGTGGAGTGCTGCGTCCAGCTCTGGGGTCCCCAGTGCAAGAAAGACATGGACCTGTTGGAGCAGGTCCAGAGGAGGGACACGAGGATGATTAGAGGGATGAACACCTCTGCTGTGAGGACAGGCTGAGAGAGTTGGGGTTGTTCAGCCTAGAGAAGAGAAGGCTTCGGGGAGACCTTCTTGTGGCCTTTCAATACTTAAAGGGGGCTTAGAAAAATGGAGAGAGACTTCTTACCAGGGCCCATACTGACAGGACGAAGGGTAACGGTTTTAAACTGTAAGAGAGTAGGTTTATTTTGGGCATAAGGAAGAAATTTTTTACGCTGAGGGTGGTGAAGCACTGGCACAGGTTGCCCAGAGGGGTGGTAGATGCCCCATCCCTGGAAGTGTTCAAGCTTAGGTTGGACGGGACTTTGAGCAACCTGATCTAATGAATTATGTCCCTGTGCATGACAGGGGGGTTGGACTAGATGATCTTTAAAGGTCCCTTCCAACCCAAACCATTCTGTGATTCTATGAACTCTCATTGTTTTTATGAAGTGCTTGTGGGTTGTTTCAAAAGTGTCCATCATGTGTATCTAATCTGATTATTGAGATCCAAAGTCTGGACTTGGTCATGTTCTATTCCAATCCTCAAAGTGGTTCACTTTTTCAGAAATTCTTGTCTTTTAGACCTTGAAAAAAATAGAACGTGCAGTGCCAAATCATTTGTAGAGGTAGTGCTACTCGGTTTTCATTTTTTTTCTTTGAAGGCTTTTTTTGAAGAATTATCTGTCAAAGCTACAGGGTGTAAGTACATGAGCTTGAAGCAACAGTGAACGTGTGAATAATGAATTCCCAAGATTACAACAAGCAAATGATTGTTGGTTTAGTGATATTTTTTTTTTTTTTACACCACTGAATAATCCACTTATATCAGCAATTTATTTATCTGCATCTAGCAGTCTCCTGCACAATTTTCTATAGTTGTTGAGATGGTGAAAAGTATTTTATACTAGGGATTGTCCATAATTTACATGACAATATCACTGAATCTTGTTTTAGTAAGTGCTGGTCTGCCTTTTTAAATATATACAGTATTGATTGAAAAACTTTTTGCTGCCTATTAATGCTGAAAGGGATAGTTAGCTATAGCTATCCTAATTGGAACAGCTGACAGTCACCTGTAAAAAAAGCAGACAAGGTGGCTTGATGTACCCATTAGTGAGCTGATCAAGAGACACAGTTTGTAAGCTTGAAAAACTTACTTTCTTCCCTCTCTGAAGGGGACTGAAATAACTGAATAATAATAAGTAATATTTATGACTACAGATGCAAGGAACACTTAACAGCAGAAAAAGGTGGCTCTAGAAAAGCCATTACAGCTGTGTGGTTTTGTGTGATAAAACCATTACTTCATACCAAATGTGCTTTTTTTTTCACGTAGGCATCTCAAATTTTAATTGAATCTGAAGTGAATTTCTCTATTAGTTCAAAGTTTGAGCCCATATAAAGCTTATATTCAAATATGGACTAAATTCTTCCCCTGTTAGAGTAAAATGAAACAGATGAAATAAGAATGAAAGTGGTAGAATGGGTACAGTATTTTGGAACAGAATTGGAGATTTAAGAAAACTATTAAAAAAACATGAAATAAAGATGAAAACTATTCCAATTTTTATTTGAATGGTTTGTTGGGGGTTTTTTTTGTGTGGCAATAAAACTAGACCTACATGCCACTATGGGAACGTGGAGGATTTTGAGGGAGTGTGGAGATAAAGGTGAATGGATCTTGTTGAAAGATCAAATTGCTTGTACAAGGCTAACTACACTTGTTTCTGTTTTGATGTTTGATAGTTCATGTTGTTCTTTGTAATATCAGAGGCAAGATACAGAACTACCAACTTAAAAATGTTACCCACCTTTCTAACCTGTCTAATCAAAGGGGCAGAATTTGATTTCATTTTTCTTTTTTTTTTTTTTTTGGGGAGGGGGGCAAAGACAGCCTTCTTAAAGCAAAATATTTATTTTAAGCACTGACAGAATATTTGAAGTAAAGAGACTTTAAAACAAGAGTCTGTTTATGTCCATTTTACATCCTGCATTAGCGCCCAGTTGGTGACTTAGGCAAATCTAACTGCTGTGCATATGTGTGCCTGCAGGTTCTGAACTCATGGTGTAGCTGCGCAGGAGAAAAAGTCTCTTCCCCTGAAATGTGAAGGGAATGTTAAGCCTTTCACAGTGTTTGGGTTTTTTGTTTTGTTTTTTTCACCAGGTCTTGGCATTATTTGCTAATAACTCTTGAGGTGTTTTTCTCCAGCTGTTTTTCTTTTGACACCAAGCCGGTAAGATCACACAGCACAAATCCCAAAGACCATCTCTGTATATAAGATATTAAAGATTATTAGTGACTTCCTCCATTTCTGACACACAACTCTGAAAAGAGCATTGCTTTCAGGTTCTTTTCCTTGGAACATCAGTGCTTATTGAGTATTTTCATTCAAATGTAGATAACAGTATAAGTTAAACTAATCTTGCGTAATTTCAACAGTACAAGCTCCAAAGTGGTGACAACTGTTAAAACTTGCTTTGAAAGCCCAGATATGGGACTTTACAACATAAAATCACTCTGTACATTAATTGACATCTTTGGATATGAAGTACTGGAAGTAGCTTTCTGGTAAATTCTGAGTTATTTTGGAGTCCTCTGAAATAAGCCAGCACAAGCCACTGGTGACAGATTGGTACTAGCCAATGCGCACTGTGAATCTACAGACTACAAGGCTCAGTATTCCTCTGTATTTTTTTAAAAATACCACTGTGACCTTTTTCATGTCTGTGTAGTGCGTATTAACAAGATGGTGCTGTAGCTTTATTTTTTCCCCATTCTTTAAGCATACTTGTTATTATATACAGCATACCTGTTAGAAATGTTTGTTTTCCTCCT